CGGGCCCCTGCGGGTACTGTTCCTGCTCTAGACACTTTTTTTCAACGGGCCATATCTCACTCGTGTTAACTCCAAATTGGTCCGTTCTTGAGTCTAAACTGACCGCGTCAAAATAAGCTTTCCAATGGTACCAATTAGAGCTTCATATTACATTTTTAGCTCAAGTTATTCATATTTTAGTGAAGTAGTGTCAGGATTTGGTTAGAACCGGGATAGGGTTTTCCTTCCTTCGACTTCGGGACTTGATATCTTTTCCGTCCGAACTCCGAACCAGGTGATTCTTGAGTCTAACTTCATTAATTTTTTGTTTTCTTTCCAATGGTACCAGTTTTAGTTTCATATTTTTCTCCTAGCTCAAGATATCCTTATTTTAGTTAGAGGGTGCCTGATTTGGTTTGAACCGGGATATGGTTCATCTGGGATTTCTCTTCCTTTGGCCTTAGAACTTCATGTGAAGTTACCAAAGGATGTTTTAGGATGTTTTAGATCTAATTTGACTTGTTGAAATTTAAATTCCTTCCTCTTAGGGTAAAATGACCAATTTACCCTTGGCTCTTCTCTTGTAGGGTTTTGATGCCCTTCTCTTCATTTTGTTTCCGTTGAGTCTCGAAACTCTTTGAGAGTCCATTCTTATGCTCTAGGGATGATGTACATCTCTAAGGACTTGTCTTTGTTTTGTTTCCACACTTTATTCATTTGAATTCCGTGGCTTCATAGGGAGTCATCGTTGTGCCTAGGGATGGCGTACATTTCTTGAGGCCATTTTGCTTCTTTTGCTTTCGCATCTTGGATCTAGTTTGGGTCATCACAGGACACACTAGGTTGAAAAATCTAGGGTCGTCACAAACTAGGCATAATGAAGGGATATTGCCGTGGATTCGGACATGGTTTCGTGGCTCCAAAACGTCAACGTGCCTCCTCATCATGTGATGAGGCTTCTAGGAAATGGGCCGAAATTGCTAAGGAAAGAAATGTACAAATGGCGAAAAAGATAGATAAACTTGAGAAGATGCTTGAGCAGTTGCAGCAACAGCCGCCACTATGGTTCCTCCAATATTAGCAGCAGCAGCAACTGCCACCATGGTTCCACTAACAACATTCTTCATCAGATTCCTAACAGCAGCGAACCGCACTAAACTAGCATCAACAGCCTCCGCCACCTCCAGCAAACTATCATTATCAGCAGCCGCCACCAACAAGGTGGCAATATCAGCAGCCGCCACCAACATAGTGGCACCAACAAGCACCACCACAACCACTAACAGAATGAATAATGGATCTTAAAGAGGATGGAACAATTTTTTGTGCTACCAAATGGTGTAAGTTTTAGTTTAGAAAACTGGAGAGCAATTTTAGTTTTTGTTTAGAAACTGGAGATTTTATGGATCTTGAATATATGTATTGTGGATTTATTTTGTTTTATGGCTAGTAATATCTTTTTGAATGTTATTGTGGATCTATTTTATTTATGTTTTGCATGTATTCAGAATGGTTAAACCCACAAATCAAGCAAAAAAAAAAAAAATTAGTGTTAGGGACAATATATCTACCTGTCCCTAATACAATAATTATAATTAAAAAATCATGTATTAGGGACAGTCTATCCATCCCTAATACAATGAGTATAATTAAAAATAATGTATTAGGGACGGTCTGTCCGTCCCTAATACCATAGGTATTGGGGACAATCCCCTATCCCTAATTCATATGTTATTAGGGATAGTCAATACCGTCCCTAATAAGTTTTAGGGACGGTATTATTTGACTGTCCCTCAAGGTCAAAAATATTTGTCATGGTCAACTTTGACCATCCCTAAAGCTCTTTTGTTATGCTACTTTTAGTGACGGACCAATTTGACCTTTAGGGACGGATTTAGAGCTTTTAGGGACAGTTTTGACTGTCCCTAAAACCCTAATTTCTTGTAGTGAATTTTATTCCACTTTGGAGATAAACCTTGAAAATAGACAAAATATACAAAAGCCTATAAAATACACACTATTGATATTCTAAATAGACTAAAACATGCAATTAAGGGTGCTTGAATATGAAATATTCGGTGCTTATCAGCTAGACCCTTAGGTGACTTAAGTGGTCGCATAAGGTCCCAACTAATAGGAAGACCCCAAAATTTTTAATTTCTTTTTGTATTATAACTTCTTAAAAAAAATATTTCCATCCATTATTAAACCACAACTAATAGAAAATTTTGATAGTGGGCCTAAAATATTTCTATTCTCATTTTCTTTCTATTTTTGGGGCCCTATTTATTTTTTTATTATATAACATCGTAAAATTTTTATTATTAGACCTCAACCAATAAATAGAATTAATATTGAGCCGAAAATATTTTTCAATTCTAGATTAGAATAGAATTAACTTTTCATTTCCTTTTTCTTCTATTCTCATATAAGTATTAAATATATGAGAATTCGTAAAACTTTTCATATTGATCCACGACTTCTTATTAACTTTTTTATTATTATTATTTATTAACTTTTAATTTTTTCTCTTATTCCTCACATATTATACCCTTTTTTTGTTCCCACTAAATATTCGTTACAATTTACAATCTCATTATCTAACTCCATAAGAACATTTTGAACACACTTTTATTCCATTGATTGATGAATTTTTTGGATTGGACTGAATATTTTTTCAAATTAGGTTCTACTGTTATATAACTTAAATTGTTTTATAGTTTTATTAATTTTTATTATCATAAAATTATATATTTTGTTTGTGAGTTGTGGTCATTTTATTTATATTGTTGAATATGGTTACTAGAAAGCATAAATTGGGATATAAAAAACTTAAAAAGAAGATAAAAATAGATAAGCTAATTCAACTAAAAAATGAGCTATTGATAAATTTGTTACAACTAATAAACAAAAGATAACAAAAAAATTTAGGTAAAAATTTAACAAATTAATAAACAACTAATTCATCTAGATAAATTAGAAGATTGTATAATAGTGAAAGAAAAAAATATTAGTAACTTGATTCATATTGATAATCAAATGTGTGATAAGAAAAATCTTTTTGAAGAACAAAAAAATAAAAGAATTAAGAAAGTGAAAGAAGTAAGAAAAATGAAGATCTTAATCAAAAATCATATTCTAGGAAAAATATTGATAAAAAAATAGGTGATTTATTAGTAGAATATGGTCCAATTAGATTTAATGATTTCATTTTCTAAAGATAAAAACTTTATGTATTTTTCTGCTTCATATTATGTTAAAAATTTATCAAATGTAGAGAACCGTGAAAAAAAAAATATGATTCTTGTATTTAAAACATTTTAGATAAAGTGTTTTGTTTATGTTACAAATTATTTAATTCAAAGTATTACACAAGCGAATGAGCTAATGACGGAACTAAAAATTTTAAAAATTTTGGATCAGAGCCAATGGCGTCTAATCTGATCCATATTCTGATGCATTAGAACCTTAATTTTTTTGAACTTTTTCATTCTTAAATTTTTTTAAGGCAAAAAGCTACCAGAACTTCGCACCGGCTGTGGCGGATGCTGCAGTGTCTTCGCCCGCCAAAAACCTTGGTATGTTTAGGAAGAGAGAGCAAATAAGAGAGATGAACGATGATAGACATGTTTTGACCTAGGCCAATTTTGACAATGGGAAACACTAGTTTTTTCAATATCATTCTTAATAAAATTTTTAATTCAACAAATAATAAAGAGAGGCACACGTATGTCCGGAGTTTTCATTTCTGTGTAATTTTATCATGATTCATGACACATAAGATGGATTTACATAAAAAATCAAAAAGTAAATAAAATGAAATATAAATTTAGGCAAGGCGTGAGTGTATTCACATAATCACATGTATTGCTAAGATTAATGACAGGAGTCACAGGACCGGCAGCTCTATGGCCTTGGCTGCACTTCAAGCATGCATAAGAGGCTCAGCATCTCAACTACCAATCGTATGATGTTCTCTGTGACACATATCACCCTTTTTTCTAGAGCGTACCAACAGGGAAAGATGATGGGCATAATTAGAGAGAAAGAAATGGAGAAGGGAAGTTAATGAAAAATCTGACTGATGATCCCCTGCGTGGTCCTTCCAGCGTCGTTACTTGTTCCTATAAATTCTGCCACCCACTTAGACTGACTTTCACTTGTACCAATGTGAATCACTCTCTTATTCTTTTCTCTTTTTGTTTTCTTAACTTATTTTGGAGAAATTTAATGCTTTATTTTGGGGTACACTACCAGTGTGTTTGGATTAAAAAAAAAAAAAAAAAAAAAAAAAAAAGTATTAGTTAGGACAGAAAAGAAAATAAAAAAAATGATAGTAATAATTTATATTCGTATTTAAATAAATAAGAAAGAAAATATAATAAATGATAGTAATTTTTATTTGGATAAGATAGAGGAGAGAGAAGAAAAAAAAGAATAGTAACTAAATTTCTTTCCTACCTTTTAAAAAAAAAGAAAGAGTAATTATTCTTCTTTAAAAAAAATAAAAAATCTGACTCAAAAGGAGAAGGAAGGAGAGAGAGAGAGAGAAGGGAAGTTACTGAAAAATCTGACTGATGGATGGTCCTTCCAGCGTCCTTACTTTTTCCTATTAATTCTGCCACCAATTTAGACTTACTTTTACGAATCTCTCTCTCTCTCTCTCTCTCTGTTTTCTTAATTTATTTAGGAGGAATTTAATGCTTTTTTCTGGGGCACACTACCACATGATTAAAAAATTTCAGTGGGCGCAATTGCCCCACTCTCTTCAATGTGAATCCGTCTTATGTTTGAGCAACGTATAGCAAACTAAACAAGACCACTCCTTTTTCTGTGTTTTTATGCATAGAGCAACGTATAGCAACCTGATCAAAACCACACGATGGTAAGTAGGGTTAGGACACCTAGAAATGTTGCCAAAATGAATAAATGCCAATTAATCCAACCGAAAGTCCACCACAAACGATATTCTTGAAAGAAACATATGCTTCTATGTATAAAATGAACTTGTATGTGTGTTCCTCATATATTATAGACTTGAAGAGGTTTTGCAGAAAAGGAAAAAAAAATAAATGCATTTCATCAACAATGTGTGTGTGTTCTCAAAGTACCTATGTTTCGTTTTATTACTACTTTCCATCACTAGTCTGGCTCAGGCCGAGGACCATTATTATGACTTTGTTGTAAGTATCAATATATATATATATATATATGTGTGTGTGTGTGTGTGTTCGCGCACAAGCACATTGCTTATATATTATATATTGTTGGATTATTTATAATTATTCTTCATTTGCTTGCAGCTGAAGGAGACAAATTTTACAAGACTTTGCAGTACAAAGAGCATGTTGACCGTTAATGATAGTTTTCCTGGGCCGGTTATTCAAGTACACAAAGGAGATACTGCTTTTGTGAATGTTCATAATCATGGCAATTATGGTGTCACACTTCACTGGTTCTCTCCCTCTCTCTCGCTCTCTCTCTCTCACACACACACAAAATTTTATTTAAAGTTGGTAATAGATCAAGAACATGCACCAATTAAGTTAATTGACCATACCAAACGCCAACCTAGCTTGAACTGGACCAGTAACTCAAGGAATGGGAAGAAATTAAAGTGCTTTTCTTCAGCTAAAATGTCCCATACATATGTCAATGAAAAATGGCCCATCACTCGAATTTTGCCTTTTATTTTTTATTTTAATGATAAAGCAAACATATAAACCAACTATTGTCCTACCTGGACTCAAACACTAAATCTCTCTTTTAATGAGGAAAAATTCATATAATTTAAGTTAGGGCTTATTGATCTGCAACGGTTGCTTCGAGTATCGTTGATGTGTCCCATTCAGTGAGTATATTCTATCATCGAGTCCACTTGGAATCTAAAAGTAACAAAAAAAATTGACTCTAGTCATTGGCAGGGTAGGCTGCTTTCAACGAGTACTACTTAGGGCAACTGAAATTGAATTCCATCTTTATTTTAGATCTTTTTACTCGAATTAGTATTTCTTCTTGATATGTCCTAATCGGTGAGCATATTCTATCATCGAGTCTCATGCATATTATTAAATTCTTATGGTTCACTTTTTCTAATGAGACAGATTTTTTTTTTTTTGGCGAAAAATTAAAGTGACATGCTGTAATTGTGCGGACCACTTGCTTTAAAACTATTTAATAATTTTTCAATATCTAGTGCCAAACATGACAAAAATAATTGAAATATTGGCAACGATGACTTGGTTCACTACAAAAATTGGAAGCAACAATTTTTCACTTGAGCCTGGCACAAATTTAATGATTCAATGCGGGGTAATATGGATAATGACCTATATATATATATATATATATATATATATATATATATAGGCATGGAGTGAAGCAACCAAGGAATCCATGGTCGGATGGTCCACTTTACATCACACAGTGTTCGATTGAGGCGGGCACAAATTTCACCTACAAGGTCATATTTTCTACGGAGGAAGGAACCCTATGGTGGCATGCCCATAGTGAGTGGACTCAAAGTAGTGTGCATGGTGCCATCATCATCTTGCCTGCCGAGGGAACCACTTATCCATTTCCCAAACCTGATGCAGAAGAGGTCATAGTACTCGGTATGCAATCCATTTGATCACAGAATTTTATACGTAGTATATATATATATATATATATATATATATATATATATATATATATATATATATAAAGATTTATGTCATTTTCAAGCTTCTTTCTCACTTGCAGCTTCTTGGTACAATGGAGATGTGAATGAAGAGCTTCATGAGGATCTCCTTGTCGGTGCAGACTTACCACGAGCAGATGCATATGTCATTAACGGCCAACCAGGAACATTTTTTGATTGCCCTAGTGGTATGGTTTGTTGCAATGTTACATACAACTATAATTACATGTCATTTATAAATATTTTTGCACTAATGTGGACTTCGTACTCCACATCTATGAAATTAGTAATTTCTGATTTCAAATTGAAAAATGAAATCCACGTCTATAATTTAATGGCCTTATATGCAAGCACCGATGTGTAAAAGGCTTAGTGGGGGCGTCGGCTCTCCTGAAATTTTTTATTATTTCATTTAATACCCCTAAATTTATACTTTTTTACATTTATACTCATAAAATTTCAAAATTACCCTTACAGAAATTTTTTATTATTTCATTTTACACCCCTAAATTTATACTTTTTTGCATTTCTACTCATAAAATTTTGAAATTATCCTCATTGAAATTTTTTATTATTTCATTTTACACCCCTAAATTTATACTTCTTTGCATTTATACTAAAAAAATTTTGAAATTGCCTCCCCTGAAATTATATATATATATAAAAAAACCTCTATATAAATTTGTCCCCCCTCATATGAATTCCTAGATCCGCCCCTGCTTATATGTTTTACTTTGACAAATAAAATTAACTAATTTATTTGAATATCACAACTTTTTTAAATTACAGGCATTAATTCGATCAATACTGCCAAACTCAACATTATAATATTTACTATGAAATTTAATTATCATATAAAAAAGTAAATTTTAATTACTTCACTTTGTTAAAATGCTCATATTATCTCATGCTTCAAATTTCTATAGCTAGCATATAACATTTTACTTTTTTGTTTTTAAAACAATTGTATAAATATGTAAACAGAATGCCCAAAAGACTATCTAAACCCAAAGACCCCAACAAACAATTTAAGACCCACGCTATTTAGATTAGCCCATCAGAGTGACTCCTTTGGTAGTTGGCAAACAATGCCCTTATATTACTGAGTATTGAAATGCATGACTAAGAAGAACATGGTGTTTAATTTTATTATATGATAAGCTGATTATATAAAATTGTTGAATTAAGTGCAGCAGAAACAACATATCATATGCTTGTTGATTATGGCAAGACGTATCTTCTCCGCATTATCAATGCAGCAGTGAACTCGGAACTCTTTTTCGCCGTTGCTGATCACAATGTCACTGTTGTTGGAATGGACGGGAGCTACCTGAAACCTGTGAACACCCCATTCGTGGTAATATCACCTGGACAAACCATGAATGTTCTACTGACAGCAAATAGACCTCTTGGTCACTATTACATGGCCGCTAGACAATATGTCACTGTTGGCAAAGCTGATATAGAAAATGCTACCGCGGCCATTATAGAGTATAGAGGCAGCTATACTCCCCCATCTCAACCTCTCTTCCCATCCAACCTTCCTTCCCATAGAAGCATTGTGATCGCAAACGAATTCTTGTCACGCCTAAGAAGCTTGGCCAGCGAAGAACATCCAATAAATGTACCATTAAACATAACTACCCATATGTTTGTAGATGTTTCTCAGAAAGAGATTGCTTGTCCAAATGCTTCATGTCAATCATTTGATGGAAATCGGCTTAGTTCAGCATTCAATAACGTAACATTTCACAATCCGTCTATAGATATACTGCTTGCCTACTACAGGTATAGGTATATATATATGTTCCCTCTTTTTTCTTTTTCTTTTTTTATTATTAATTTTATTGTTTATGCAGGAATATTAGTGGGATCTACACTGCAGATTTTCCGAACCAGCCACTTGTATTTTACAATTTTACAGGGACAGATTTGGATGCCTATAAAACACCAACCATAGGGACGAAGGTGAAGGTGTTAAATTACAATGAAACAGTGGAGATAGTGTTCCAAGGGACGGATGTGATGCTGGGATCAGTGAATCACCCAATGCATTTGCACGGCTATAGCTTTTACGTAGTTGGATCAGGAGTTGGGAATTTCAACAATCAGACCCATCCAAATACATACAATCTTGTTGATCCACCTGAATTGAATACAATTCGAGTTCCTAAAAGGGGATGGGTCACTGTCAGGTTCCAAGCAAATAATCCAGGTATGCATGTACGTTCTTGGTAAAAATAAATAAATAAATATATAATTGGTTCAAAGTATTCTTTTTTCCTATAAAGGGCTTTGCCCCTACTATTTTACCGACCTGTGCAAGGTGCCCCCACACGGACTAGCAAAGCTTGGACTATGTCCCCGGGCATGGTCCCTAAGGAATTGTTTGCACCTAGAAGGAACCGATCCTAAAACCTGATCCTTCTTGAGACACCATGACCCAAATCTTTTCCAACTAGGTCAACCCTTAAAGTTTAAATTGGTTCAAAATATTTGATGTACGGTTAACAATGGATGATAAAATTTTTTTGTTAGGTGTATGGCTATGGCACTGTCATTTGACTAAACATCTGACCTGGGGCATGAAAACTGCATTTATAGTGAAAAATGGTGGAACTTCTGAGACAAGCATGCTCGATCCCCCTACTTCCATGCCTCAATGCAGTGAATTGTTCATTAGTTATATTGAAGAATTGAAGGATTCAGTTGGAATGCTCACAAATCAAGTATAAATTTACCAGGCTTTGCTTGGATGATGTTTGCATAAATTAATGAATTCTGTTAGGAACCTACTACTGTTAAGTCTATTTTAGGAATATTGTTTCTTTCCAATAATTATTTGCTATGTTAGAAAGTCTGCTATTTATATTTTTCATATATATATGATGCTCATGTAATGGAATTAGGGTTATTATGAATAAAAACTTAATATTTTCCCAATTCAAAGGATTATCGGTGGTTGATCTCCAATCAAAAGATCAATTTAAGGTTTAGAACCCTAACATCTAGTATCAGAGCATTCGATCTCAGACTGCCCAATTTTTTTTTTTTTCCTCTTTCTTTTCTACTGTTAATCATCTTTATCTTCGATTCCATTAGTATTCTCAATTTAACGGTCAAGGAACTTGAAGAGAAGGTTGCTGCCCTTACTACTAGGATGGATGCGATGTTGCGTGATAATCAAGCTAGTTTTTAGCAATTTCACGCAGTTGTGTTGCCCCTAACAGATAGACAAGCAGCCCAACCTAATCATGCATGTTCGTCCCCAACGTGATGATCGCATACCAGTACAGGGTGACAACCTTACTCGACCGCTTCACCGTGACGACAATACGGATCGACTAGTTGTTCCAATCATTCATAGTTGCATGCTCACTCTCCGAATTGATTTTCCAAAAGTTGATGGTATTGACCCTGAAAGGTGGTTGTTTCAAGTTGAACAATTCCAGGAACTCAATGGGCTTTTAGAGGAGCAGATGGTTCCATTGGCTACAGTGCATCCAAGGAGATGCTACTTCGTGGTATCGTTGGATTAAATAGACTTTGGGTATTCTGACATGGCAATAATTTTCTCATGCAATATGTATTTACTTTGGGTCTCAACAACACATTGATCCTTGTAGTTCACTACCCAAACTATCTCAAACTGGCACTTTCCGCGAATTTATTACTGAGTTTTAGCAACTTGTTAACATGGTTCTTGGTATGCTTGAGTCGCATCACGTTGGTATTTTTCTCTCGGCGCTTCATGCTGATATTAATGCTGGACTTCGATTGCTTCGCTCGCTAAGTTTAACCGAGGCCTATGAATTGGCACTCTATCAAGAAGATGCAATTAATGCAACAGCGGCCCATAATGCGATAAGGTTTGCTACTCGCCATCTCCTTCTCGACCTTCTAACATTACGTTTGCACCTAAGCCTATTACGAAATTGCCAAATTTATCTCCGGGTGTTAAACAGTTGTCATGGGCTCACTACAACTCTTAGTTAGTATTGTTAGATTGTAGCATAAAATTGGATGTTTAAGAATTAATAGTTCATTTAATAAGCTCACTAAAATCATTTTTATGTAGTATAACCAAATATTTTGATTTAACTTAAGATTGTTCAAAGTAATTACAAAAAATATATATGTTTTTCAAATTAAATATATATATATATTCAAGTTAAACCTCAACATTTTAAAACTAACACAATCATTTTTAATTAAAGTAAACATGACAATGATGATTACGAGAATATTGTAGAAATGGTAGAAAGTTTTAGTTGGTTGAATTTCTTGAAACTTGAGTATTATGTAGTGAATGAAGAAAAATGTCCCTTTCCACCAATGTGTAGAAAAGATGCACCATGCAAACGACACACCAGCTAGTGTGTAGGAAGTTACGCTATGCAAACAACAAGTGTGAATAACTATGTGTGGAGTTGCTTACCGAGCAGAAGGAACAAAGAGAAAAGGGGCTTGGTTTTAATTGTGATGAAATTTATAAGCCTAAACATCGGTGTCAAAAATCTCAGTTATCTCTCTTGGAAGGTGAAATAGATAAGGAAGTTGCAGCATCTGAAATTGAAACTGTAGAAGTTGGTGGCACTGAATCTTCTACTTCAGAAATTTCTTTACATGCTCTTATGGCACTCAAAAATTGCCCAATTATTGTCCTCATCAACTCTGGTTCTACCCATAATTTCCTACATCGTTCTATCGCTAAACAATGTGGTTATCTCGTTCAGAGGGACAAGACTTTACCAGTCATGGTGGCTAATGGTGGATTTTTAAATACTGTGGGAAGGTGTTCTGATGTTCAACTTAACTTACAAGGTACTATGGAATTGAACTCGAATTAATAGGTTGAATGATTAAAGAGAATGGTTTGTTGGTTGAATTATGTTATGATTAATTAAAAATAATGTAATGTAAAATAAGCTAAAGTAAATGAGTTGTAGAAAATAATTAGTCTAAAATTTGTGTGAATTTATCATGATTTATGACACATCAAATCGATTTACATAAAAAATAAAAAATAAATACAATAAAATAAATTTAGACGAGGTGTGAGTGTATTCACATGTATTGCTAACATTAATGACAGGAGACACATGACCGGTAGCCCTATGGCCTTGGCTGCACTTCTAACATGCACAAGAGGCTCAATATCTCAACTACCAATCATATGATGTTCTGTGTGACACATATTACCTTTTTTTTCTAGAACGTGCCGATAGGTTGGAATAAGAAAAACGATGGTAATAATTAGAGAGAGAGTAGGGAAGTTACTAAAAAATCTGACTGATGAGCCCCCTGCATGGTCCTTCCAGCGTCTTTACTTTTGTCCTATTAATTCTGCCACCTGCTAGATAATTGGATGCATGAAAATGTGAATCACTCTCATTTTCTTTTCTCTTTTTGTTGACTTGTAACAATGTGAATCACTCACTCTTTCACTTTTTACTTTGCGAGGGTTCTTTTCGTAACACAATAAAATACATATAAATGGTGATATCATACACAAATTTAAGTGATCCAGACAACATAATAGAATCTAAGGTGGACTGCGAAAGGTGGAAGCCCAAGCAAATTTAAAAGAGAGAGAAAAAAAAAGGATAGCAATGTACTAAACACCATTGACTCCCTTAGTAAATGTTTAAGGGTTGTAAAGACAACCTAAGAGAGAGGCTTAGAGCTCTCAATGTCTAGGAGGTGTTTTCCTCCCTGTTTGTTGTACCCCTCTTGACCTTGGAACATTTCCTTATATAGGCCAGGTGAGAGGTTGGATGATATCATTGAATGACATCACATATGAATTAGTTAATATAATAATTAAAAGAGATAAATAACTCAAATAATTATAACGCTATATTAAAATGAGGTTAATAATTTTGGGAGTCAAAATGGTATTTCTCTCTCTACAAGTCAGGTCGAGGATCAACTCGATGAGCCCTAAACTTCAGCCACCAAACCAAGTACCTCCCGGATCCTAGGTAATCTTGAGTCCTGCTCCCAACTCAGGTCTTCATGTCTTCGCTCTTCTATTCGGGGTATAGTGATAACGTGGTAAATAACACATATCTTTGACCGTTGATTGTTTGATTTGTGGGCCATCGTTGCTGATGCGGAGTAGTTCGTTGACTATTTGACCAACCTATGTGGTCATTGTTAATGATGTGGCGTAGTTCTTCGACTGTTTGACCAAACCATGCTCTTTGTAGAATTCATAAAAGAGTAGCCGTGCATAAATGACGCTTGAGTGGTGTGATATGCGAGGTTTGGCGACCTAGTGAAATACTAGGTCTTGCTGACCTAAGGGCAAAGCCTTTGAGTTTGATGACCTAGGCGTGATGCCAGGGTTTGCGGACTCGAAGATAAGGTCTTCAAGTTTTAGTGACCTGGATGCGATGCATAATGCAAGGTTTGACGACCTGGGCGGGATGCTAAGGTTTGGGTACTTGGGCACGATGACAGGGTTTAGGTACCTGGGCGCGATGCCAAGGTTTTGGGTACTTGGGCGCGATGCCAAGGTTTGGGTACCTGGGTGTGATGTCAGGATTTTGAGTACCTAAGCGCGATGCAACGATTTAGGCACCTGGGCGCGATACTAGGGTTTGGGTACCTGGACATGATGCGAGTGTTTTTGGGTACCTGGGTGCAATGCTAGGGTTTTGGGTACCTGGGCGCGATGCCAGGGTTTGGGTACCTGGGCGCGATGCCAAGGTTTTGGGTACCTGGGCACGATGCCAGGGTTTGGGTACCTAGAAGTGATGCCAAGGTTTGGGTACTTAGACATGATGCCAGCGTTTTTGGGTACCTGGGTACAATGCCACGGTTTTGGGTACCTGGGCGCGATGCCAGGGTTTGAGTACCTGGCCACGATGCTAGGGTTCTAGTATCTGGACACAATGCTAGGGTTTAGGTACCTGGGCGTGATGCCAGGGTTTTGGGTACCTGGGGAATATGCCAGGGTTTTGGGTACCTGGGCGCGATGCCAGGGTTTAGGTACCTGGGCGAGATGCCAAGGTTTGAGTACCTGGGTACTAGAAAATGTACGAGCCATGTATTGGCCAAAGCGAGTGTGAGAGTTTGAGAGCAAGTGAATACAAAAGTTTGAGAGTGAGTGAGTGTTCGAGCCAAGTAGATGGCGAGAGACACTATAATAACTGTGATAAACACGAGCGAGTGCGAGAGTTTGAAAGTTAGTGAGTGTTCGAGCCAGGTGGATGGCGAGAGACACTATAATGAAAGTGATAACCACGAGCGAGTGCTAGTGAGTGTTAGCATGAGCAAGTGTGAGAGTTTGAGAGTGAGTGAGTGTTCGAGCCAGATGGATGGCGAGAGACACTACAATTTAAGCACGAGCAAATGCTAGTGAGTGTTAGCACGAACGAGTGTGAGAGTTTGAAAGTAAGTGAGTGTTCGAGCAAGGTGGATGGCGAGAAACACTACATAATATAAGTGACAAACACGAGCAAGTACTAGTGAGTGTTAGCACGAGCGAGTGCGAGAGTTTGAAAGTGAGTGAGTGCGAGAGTTTGAGAGCGAATGAGTGTTCGAGCTAGGTGGATGGCGAGAGACACTATAATGAAACTGATAACCACGAGCGAGTGCTAGTGAGTGTTAGCACGAGTGAGTGCGAGAGTTTAAGAGCGAGTGAGTGTTCGAGCCAGGTGGATGGCGAGAGATACTACAATGTAAGCACGAGCGAATACTAGTGAGTGTTAGCATGAGCAAGTGCAAGAGTTTGAAAGTGAGTGAGTGCGAGAGTTTGAGAGCGAATGATTGTTCGAGCCAGGTGGATGGCGAGAGACACTATAATGAAGGTGATAACCATGAGCAAGTGCTATTGAGTGTTAGCACGAGCGAGTGCGAAAGTTTGAAAGTGAAAGAGTGTTCGAGCCAGGTGGATGGTGAGAGACACTACTACGTAAATAATGGTGAGCGCAAGT